GCGTTGATCCTTGAGTCCCCTCTCGAAGAACGATTAATCTCCAATCGACTGCTACTGTCATTGGAGGCTTTAAAGAATCCACATCATCTCAAGTAAATACACTCTTTTTTTAACATCACATATTTACATATAAAAAAGATCGATTTTTTAAATAATATTTTTGTTACATTTTACAATATAGGTGCCGACTGTATGGGAGGACGAGCTTCACAACGTGGTTCATATGGGCTTCAACTCGAGCACTCCTCCTAATAGCCAAGATTTAAGTGGTATATATATATATATATATATATATATATATATATATATATATACACACACACACACATTATATATATAGCTGAATTAACTTCATTTTTAGTGGTTTAAGTTCTTGAATTGAATGCATATATTTTTTTTTCAGGTTCTCTACCACCAGGGCATATGAAAGCTGAACCCTGATTTTTTTTTAAAATTTTAATTTATGTGTATTTAATAATTTGGTCCTTCTTTTTATCCTTTGCTGAAAGACCCATCTTCCGGGGGCCTGACAGCAATATTAGAGTTCACCTACTCCTCTATCCAGAAGCTTATCCCCTGTCTGGAAATTCAAGAAGATACAAAGCCTAGATAGCAATAGAAAAATCATGACCTTTGTGCAGTTACGATCCAATTATCTATCGTAAGGCGGGCCCACGCTCGAGTTCGGGCTTATTTTCGAGTGCGAATTTTATGTATTTTGAGTGATTAGAGGAAAACAAGATCAGGGTTTGTGTTTCATTCTTGAATTATGATTGTGGTATGAGCTATTATTCTTGTTCAGTCTATTCCTTTTTTCTTAGCTTGTAAATATTATTATTGTATTGAAAGATTAGTAGTAGCTTGTAATTTGGGGAGGCTCATATTTGCTAGTAATTTTTAGTTCTTTCAAAAATATTGTGCAATTTTGCAGTTTTAGCTAACTTTCAAAATAAGAAACATATCCCTCAGATTTATTTATTTATTTTTAATTATGATCCACTTTTAAATGGTGCAATTTGTAGCACTGCAATAAATATTAAGAGGGTTTATTCACAATTTAGAAGCTTGACTAAAATTTATTGTAGATAATTCAAAGTTCAAGATTTATTTTTGTAATTAACCTATGTATAGACAAAATAAAAAAGTTTGATATATGAATTGGTCCAAATTGATCTCAAAATGCTCACACACAAATTGGAGGGTGTAAACGAGCTGAGTCGGCTTGACAAAAGCTAAAACTCGAACTCGAGGTTTTTGAGCTTGAGCCTTTTCTTAATTCGTGAGCCCGCGTGTTGGCTTAGAGCCTACTTTATTTTATTATTTTTAATTTAAATAATAGTAAAAAAAAAAAATCGAATGAGGTTGGGCTCGAGCTCGTTAAAATCGGTTTGAATTCGAGCTCGAGCTCACAAAAAAAATAGTAGACGAGTTCGTTTACACGCATAATTGGAGGTCTTGTCGATGATGTTAACAATTGGTGAAATATAGTTTGCAAATTTTGAATTACACACAATCAATCACACACACATTACATGTGGAGGATGATTTAAGTACAATAGAGCTTTTTGTTTGTCCCACATCGGTTGCGGAAGTTAGAAGCGCTACAAACAAAGAATATAAAAGCAGGTGGCATTGCACTGTAATTCTCATACCTTTCTCGGCCTTTTGGCTAAGATCAAGTGTAGTATCTGTTCTTATCAGTTTAATATCTGATATGTGGGCCATTGGCTCACACGATATTAAATTCATTTTTTAATTATTTTTATTTTTTAATTAATTATCATATTAGGTATTTAATATAAATTCCATTATTTTGGTTGTGAATTTATTATTAATTGGAATAAATTTTAAAATGAGAAAAACACAATTTTTGTTCTTTAAGTTCGTAAAGATTTCACGTACGGTCATTAACCCATTTGGTATGTTGCAAAAAATCAACACTTTTAGTCCTCTTTCCAAATGAAACTTGTGCCCAATCACTGCCCTAATGAACGGACTAAGGGTGAATTTACGGAAATGACCAAAATGTTAAATTAATAGAACATGAAGGACTGAATGTATTTCTTGTGAATATGGATGACCAAATGTGAAATTAGTGCAAACTTGAGGGATGAAAACTGTAATTTCTCGATTTTAAAATATTAGAACAATCATAAAAGAATACAATTTCCAGCTTCAACTTTCAAAAGTAGTTCCCTTGTAGTTAATTTGATTTCACAAATATCCTTTTAAATTGGAGATGTTTGTTGTAAATGTTCAATTAAATAAATCTTTAATGAAGAATGGAAAATTAGAGTAAGCAGTAAATCATCTTTTACCATACGATGTTTACGAAGGGAACTACACCCTTCCCGCCAAAACACATCTCAGAAAACTCCATGTCCAATATTTCGAATTACTATTGCTCACTTCTTAAACAATGCTGCGAGACCGGCGGTCTGAAACAAGCCAAAAGGCTCCACGGGCACATAATCAGGACCGTCACGGATCCAGAGACGTTCTTGCTCAACAATTTCATCAATGGGTATTACAAGCTCAACAACACCGCCTATGCACGCAATGTGTTTGATAATTTGCGCAGACCAAACCCTTTTTCATGGAACACTATTCTTTCCGCTTACTCGAAAGACGGGGATGTTGGGAAGATGCAGGAGATGTTCAATTTGATCCCATGTAAAGATGGAGTTTCATGGAACTTGCTTATTTCGGGTTACGTAAAATGTGGGTTGAGTGGGAAAGCTTTAGAGGCTTATAGATCGATGTTGAGGCATGGGTTGGGGAATTTGAACAGAATCACTCTTTCCACGATCATAATAATGTTGTCGAACAAGGGCTGGGTTGGTTTGGGTGGGGTTATTCATGGGCAAATAGTGAAATGTGGGTTCGAGTCGTATGTTTTTGTGGGGAGTCCTTTAGTTGACATGTATGCAAAATGTGGTCTGATAACTGAGGCTAAGCGTGTATTTGATGGGCTGCCGGAGAAGAATTTGGTTATGTACAATACGATGCTTATGGGTTTTTTGAGGTGTGGCATGGTGGAAGATTCGTACAAATTGTTTGCGTGTATGCCTGAGAAAGATTCGATTTCTTGGACAACGATGATTACTGGACTTATGCAAAACGGGATGGACAAAGAAGCGCTTGATTTGTTCCGAGAAATGAGGTTCGAGGGAGTGAATATGGATCAGTTTACTTTCGGAAGTGTTTTAACTTCCTGCGGAGGTCTTTTGGCATCCGAAGAAGGGAAGCAGATTCATGCGTATATGACTAGAACTGATCATATGGACAATGTTTTTGTGGCCAGTGCACTTGTTGATATGTACTCAAAGTGTAGAGACGTAAAAAACGCAGAGAAAGTCTTTAGGAGGATGCCGTACAAGAATATCGTGTCTTGGACAGCCATGCTAGTGGGCTATGGTCAGAATGGATACAGTGAGGAAGCTGTTCGGGTTTTTTGCGAGATGCAAAGAAATGGAGTCGAGCCAGATTATTTCACTTTAGGCAGTGTGATAAGCTCTTGTGCAAATCTGGCCAGCTTGGAAGAGGGAGCACAGTTTCATTGTCGAGCACTAGTTTCGGGATTGATTTCCTTTATAACGGTATCTAATGCACTTGTTACCCTATATGGTAAATGTGGGAACATCGACGAGGCCCATATTTTGTTCAATGAAATTAAATCGAAGGATGAAGTTTCTTGGACTGCATTAGTTTCTGGCTATTCCCAGTTTGGGAAAGCCAACGAAACCATTAATTTATTCGAGGAAATGTTGGTTTGTGGTCTTCAACCAGATGGGGTTACTTTTGTTGGGGTTCTTTCTGCATGCAGTAGGGCCGGATTTGTCGAGAAAGGCCGTCATTATTTTGCATTAATGGTGGATAAATACCAAATTAAACCAGTTCTTGATCACTACACTTGCATGATTGATCTGTATAGTCGAGCTGGACAGCTGGAAGAAGCGAAAGATTTCATTCTCCAAATGCCTTGCTGTCCCGATACGATTGGCTGGGCGACTTTGTTGAGTTCGTGTAGAAATCGTGGTAATATGGAAATAGGGAAATGGGCTGCAGAATCTCTTCTTGAAATCGACCCGCAAAATACAGCTGGCCACGTGTTGCTTGCCAGTATCTATGCTGCGAAAGGGAACTGGGATGAGGTGGCTCGATTAAGAAGAGGAATGAGAGACAAGGGTGTTAGAAAGGAGCCAGGGTGTAGTTGGATCAAGTATAAAAACAAAGTGCACATTTTTACTGCTGATGACAAGTCGAGCCCGTTTTCCGAGCAGATTTATAAGGAGTTGGAAATTTTGAACCGTAAAATGATGGAAGACGGATATGTGCCCGACGTGAAATCTGTTCTGCACGATGTACACGAGTCTGAGAAAATGAATCTGCTGAACCATCACAGCGAGAGGCTTGCCATTGCGTTTGGTTTGATTTTTGTTCCTTCTGGACTGCCGATTAAAGTGGTGAAGAACCTTCGTGTGTGCGATGACTGTCATAACGCCACGAAGATCATTTCGAAGATCACTCAGAGAGAAATTCTGGTCAGAGATGCTGCACGGTTCCATTTGTTTAAAGATGGGAAATGTTCGTGTGGAGACTTTTGGTAGTGGATGCTAAGAAAGATGTCTGAAGCGTGAAATCACCAAAAGCACAATGCGGTGATTGAAGGTAATATATTACATGTATTTGGAATATGAGAAATAAATTATTATTTTGTCAAAATTTCAATTCATTACATTGGAGAAGAAAGATACAGTTCTCTGTTTTTGGTTTCGTCTTTGTCAGTTTTCTTCAATGGCATCAGATATCTTCATTACACTTTTTTTTCTTTCTTTTAAATTGACAAGATTTTGAGTAGTGTTATCGTTCAACGTTTGAACTCATTGATTGTGTGTTTATACATACCAAGTGTTCGAAGTCTGGTTCTTACTTAGTACCCTTGTAATATTGTTTTTATCATGAATGCTGCTACACGACTGTCTTAATGAATAAGGAAAAAAATTCAATCTTTTGATTCAACAAAACAAAATTTGCATCTGTTGAAGAAAAATCACACGGAAAGAAAATTACACACACATCGGTATTTAAACCTTAAAGAGTTCATCAAATTGATAGATTTTATTAAGGACAGGTGCCGAAGCTGAAGTCGACTAATTAATACTCCATTATCTTCATTCTTTTTCATCTTCTTTTAGTGATTTTATGGACTCCAATGGAATGTGCTGCAGGTTCTGCACAAAAGTGAAACAGAGCTTATATATATGGTCATGAATATTCAGACAGGATTAATAGCAACGGGACTAGAAAGATTTCTACCTGAATTCGAGTGCAGATTTCTATGACTTCACCAAGTGGGGCCCAGTCACCGAAGTTTCTCTCGACGAACTGGTAAGCAATCCCACTTTTGCCCCTGCCGACTACAAAGAGTCCACCTTTAATCTCACCTTCACCCTTAAAATTCATTTCTAGTCCAACAGCCTTTGCTCGTTTAAAGTTTGCGATTGCTCTAGGATTGAACAGAAAACCGGATATGAACTTTTCTTTGAGCAGCTTCCCTCCACCGAGTGCCTTGAAAAATCCCTGCCCTTTGTCGTAGAGCAAGGCACCACCCCAATATCGAGGCCAAAAGTCGTTTACCTAAAAAAAAAAAATCGGAACTGTATCATCGAGCATCATTTTAGCCCTTTGTGCTATATGTAATAATTGAAATTTCATACCTCGGATTCTATATGCTCATGAAGAACGGCAAATAGTTGAACTCCAAGAGCATCAAATATCGGTTTCTTGGAGTAGAGCTGATGAGATTCAGCTCTGCACATAATGCACCTGATTGCGATTGCATAGTAATATAGTGTATATCAGACATATATATCAACAGGAAAAAAAAGGTGTGGTCAATGCATTATGTTCGGAAAAACCATACCCGGGCCGACGAATGCAGACAAATACAGCTGGTTTCTCCCGCCACAATTCCGAAGCTTTCACGGGAGGCGCCTTATTCTTGACCAACCGCTCGATTCCAATCTTATATTCGGGAGCTAATTTCTGGACAGAGATATTCTCGATAGCGGAATAAGGAGCTACATTTTCAGCCACTGGCGGTGGTTGTACGCAGCCACAAGCTCGAGACTCTGCGGGCATGGAAGCCACAATGCCCTTAAAGACATGCCCATCTTCAATCTTGAAACTCGCCAGAGATTGTTCTATGGTAATATCGGAACTGGAGCTACTTCTCCGGGAGTTTCTTGTCATGTTTTCTAGTTTTTTGGAATTATTATCGCTCTTGCTGTGTATGCTGTTGTTTCTCGAAGGGGGGTTGTTTTGCTTTCTGTCCGTAAAACGAGCGATGTGGCCTCTTTTCATTGCGTAAAGAGAAGAGAGATCTGTGTTGCTTAAGCTGAGAAGCTCCGCCAAACTTTTGCCCGAGGCTTCTAACTGGTCACTGTACTGCATCAGCGCTCGATCGTGCAGGTATGACCTAATTTCTAGTGCATCCTTCAGCATGACAAAGAAAATCATTATTGCTAATCTTTTCTTTTAATTGGATATGGAACAAACCAGTAAAATTTGCATATTATGCACGGAATATATTGATCGAGTAATTAGTGTTTCAGTTCTGTCGGTACGGTTCTGGCTTAAAAATGTGATTTTGACCCTTTTTCATTTCGAATTTAGCAAAACTAACACAACTTGAACTAGCTAAATTGGTCGTTGGATGAGAAAGTTATGCGTAATCTTGGATTTGTGGTACTGGTAAAACTGGAACGACATTTAGCATTTCAGTACGTAGAAATTATAATCCCTACGTTTGCGTGAATCAACATACAAAAACATGATGATGATGTGCGATGATGATGATGATGATGATGTCATGATTTAAAAAAACGAACCTTTTGGGGACGAGTCATGCCGATGTCATCCATGTCACCGGAGTTCATTGCCTTCAAAGTAGGTACGTCATCCCACCCTCGGTCTAACAGCTTCGGTAGTAATTCCTTAAGACAACCGTTTCCCACAAAATCTTCGATCGAGAAAGAAGCCATTGCCAAACTGTACCTACCAAAATATACAGAGCTAGAAAAGAAAAAAAAAAAAAAAACAAGTTTATTTTAAGGTACTTGTTTTTATTTATTGAACATAAACTCCAAGGTTTTATTTATGGATAATACATAAAAGCCATTGCCGGCCAAACCATTTATTATTACAAGGCCTGTGTGAATTCAATGCATCCCATCCCATTTATTATTATAAATTTATCTGTCTGGCACTTTGTCTTACTTTTCTTACATTGCCTTGTTCCACTGAAGTAGGTGTTTTCAGGTGTAGTGTGTGTGTTGAATACTTACTGAAAATAATTATTCTTGTCTTAATTTATATAATTCTGATATTTAGTATTTAAAGTGTAAGTGGGAAGCAATTATCTGGTTTTACAAATATTAATGTAGGATGTTTCTTTCAACCTCGCCGCCCAAACCCCTTCTACATTAAATATAGGGTAAATTACGGTCGCTCCCCTGATGTAAGATTAAATTACGAAAAGACCCTCTTTGATTTGAATAATTACAATCACCCCTCAACTATGAATCTTCTTACACGTCCATCCTTACGGTGTCAAATTCAAGATAATTTTCTGGATTCTGTCTCTGTTTTGTGCAAAAATGCAGTTTCTGATGCATCGCAGTCGTGTATTTACAAACCAAGAGACGCAACTTATCATCATCTTGTTTCAAAATGTGGAGGTCGAATGGAATAAAACGGGTATAAATTGGAAAATGTTCCAAATAATCTAGAAGATTCCACTAAATTTAACACCGCAAGGATGGACTTGTAAGAAAATTCATAATTGAGGGGATAATTGTAATTACCCAAACATGAGGAATTTTTTCGTAATTTAACCTTACTTTAGGGGTGGCCTTGATTTTCCCTTAAATATATAATTTTTTGCTTATCTATGTTTGAAAATTTCAATTTTGAAATAATTATTTTCACTTCAATTTGGCTCTTGTGTCACTCTCACCCTACTTAAAAAGAGAGTATTTAAACACTTTCTATATTTTTTTACTATCTACGTATATTTATTAATTTTCTAATATTTGTACGCAATAACCGAAAATGACAAATATCTTAGCACACGTAAGGAATACTAATTTGTAATATTTTTTGATTAAAATATTTAAATAAATATAAAAAAAGTATCTAAAATACATTGTACTTGTGTATAAAATAAATAAATTCATGAGGTAGATTTAATATTTTTATTAAGAGTAAAAATATAATTTTGAATATAAAACTTAGAATAATTTAGAAACACTCTCATGCAAATGCCGTCCCAACAACAAATCTGTGTCACGTCTGATTGGACAGTGTACAAGTGTGGCACAATCTTAAATAGGGCCACATTAAACGACGACGTGGCCTCATTCGATATGCACTACTGTTGTTCAAGATAAGATGTTCCGAAATGTTCTTATCTTATATTTTCTAATACAAATTATCGGTATGTAGCTCGTAAATCTCTTTTGTCTAGTTTTATATAATTAACAGTCCTAATAGTTTACTTTGGACACTGCATTTACCCTTTGTAAATTCGTTTGGATTTAGCTTCTTAACCCATGTAAAAAGTCTGAAATGCCCCTCACTTTATATTATTGTTGCTACTACACTTCTTTCCCACTTAAAGAAACGCTACTGCTCATAAAGACGTGTTCTGACGCTTTCAATAATGTTTATTTATTTATTTCTCTCAAAACGTTGCTCAATATTTTTATTTCACCAAAGCACGTTTTGCAGTGTAGATGGGCGGAGCTACGGTGGTGTAAAAAGGGGGCGGAGGTTGAGCATAAGGTTTTTTTCGATTTCTTGTCGTAATTTTGGGAAGACTCGGATATGTTTGAGAACTATAATTATATATTAGGAGGAGAGATAAATGGTGTTTGGTTACATGTATAAATAAAATGGAGAAGAAAAAGAAAATAAAAAATCATTTAATAAAGGGCATTCCAGACATTTCGGATGAATAGAGAGCTAACCGTACGCGAAACTTAAAAGGGGGAGTGCAGTATCCAAAGTATAGTACCGAGGACTATCTAATATATGAAAGTAGCCAAAAGGGATTTACGAACTAAAACCCCACAAATATACTCTACAATCCACATATACATATTTGAACTTCAAAGCAAACTTGTTTTTTTTTTTTTTTTTTTTTTGTGTGTGTGTGTGTGTGTGCAGTAACTCATAATCTGCTGTGATAATAACCTCGTAGAACTCGTTACGAGACCTAATAAGGTAATGCACTCTTTAGAATTTTTGCAAGGAAAATATTTTTAATTTACTTGGTAAAGGTTAGTGTGTTGGATAAATCAGGCATTTTATTCAAATGCCTGAGAATTTTTCCCGCCATTTCTCTGGTCGAACCCTCCCCGTGATGAAATGCACTAACCAACGTAGCAGGCAGTAACCTATCCCTCGATATATCCGAAACCGAATCATCGCCACCTTTCATCAAGAACCTCTCGATCACCCAAAACGCCTTCTTCGTAACCCCCTCTTCCTTATGCTCCTTCACCACATTTAACACATGTCGTACAGCGTTTCTCTCGGATAAAAACCCGACACTCTTGTCCACGTCAACTTTGTCTTCCAACAAAGTCGATAAAGCCGATAGAGCCGCCTCGACCACCTCGACATTCTCGTGGTCCAAACACGAAAGCAGCCTCTCGACAGCCTCCGCTTCGATCAAGCAGAACGTTTCTTGCGAGGAACAAACCCCTCTGTGAACAGGGCATAAAGAGAAAGTACTCTCGTCCTTCGATAAATTAATCGATATGCATTTCCGAAAAAACGAGAGTTTTAGAATCTTGTTTTTTTTCTTCCTCTGTGGAGGCCTCGACAGAGCCACCGAGTGTCTCGACAGATTCTCTAGCCCGATAGCGGATAATTTCTGAACTTCGTCGGTGAAAGATCTTGTCAGTAATTCGGTTAAAAGCGAGGCGAAATTGTGGGTTTTCGCCGTGAGCAGAATCTGATGGTCGTACAGCGTCGTTGTTAATCTGACGAGAATTCCGACAAGTCCCTCGAAATAAGAACTTGTGTGCCTGCTCGATCTCGTACCGGTTTTATTTATCTGAGCGATGCTTGTCGTAACTGCTTGTATAGTTTTGCTGTTGACCAAAGCTAGGTTCAACGTCAGGTTCTGATGAGGTAGCTTGGCCAAGAAGTTAGCAGAAACCGCGTGTTTTTCCGTGATTGTAGTAATTTCGTTCGGATTAGCGATTAGGCTTTGAGGCTGTCCTTGCGTTTTACACAGCCTGTCCGATAAGGTGTGCCCCATAAAACCCGCGAGCGTGATAAGCAGCTTGATTGACTTAATCCCGAGTTCTTCGTTCGGATTGTTAATCAGGTCGATCAAATCGTAGCTCGCTTCCATTTCCTTCACAACCGAAACGATAGTACTCGAGGCTTTATCGGATTTGATCAAACAGAGCAAGATTCTGATTAGGTTTATGTTCAGTTTGTCGGGGGTTGAGTTCTTGATTCTTGATACTATGTTGTACACTATGTAGTCCGAGGCGAGTGTGTGTCCGTGCGTGGTGACCTGGAAATTCTCGAGATCAAGGCCCGACTCGAGTACGTTGGCTAGTATTAGAGCAGCCTCGTTTCTTGAACTCATTTCCTCGTTGTGGGTTGATGATCGTGTGAAGATTTCTTCGATCATGATTTGCAGTATTCCGGCATCGACGAGTGCTTTGGCGTTTGGATTGTGTGAAGATATTTGTTGCAGTGCTTTGAATGCTGCATTTCTGCTCGGAGAATTTCCGGTTTTGACCATTTCGATTAATGCCGGAGAAGCCCTTTCGGCTACGTAGGTTTTGCTCTCTGATCCGAGAATGATTTTTCCTAGGTAAACTGCCATCTCCATTTTCATCTCTTCATTACCTGCTGTTCATATAACTGTCATTTATCTCTTTTCTTTTTTAACATTTAAAATAGGGGTGGAAATAGGACCGATCGGATCGTAATTAGAACTTTTGGAAAATTTCCGATTTTTTTCGGAAGTGAAAATCTAATTTCAATTATGTTCCAGAAAAATAACAATTGGAATTTCGAAAATTGGAACGAGAAAACTCGTTCCAAAATCGGAAATTTTCGGATCGGAATCGGCTGAATTTGGAAATCTCTATTTCACCTAACATATAAATTCATAATAAATATTTGTTTGGAAAAAAAAAATCAGACTTTTCGAATTAAAATCAGATATGAAATCGGAATCTCATATATATAAATATATTTCAATTATGATCCAAAAAAAATCGAAAAAACTCGAAACCGGAATTTTCGGAGTTCGGAATGAAAAATATTGTTCCAAAATTGAAAAAAATTCGAATCAGAATCGGCGGGAATCAGAATTCCGGTTCCAATTTCCACCCCTAGGAGAAACTAGATTTCTTGATCAATAGTACCTTCAAGTAGATGAGTGAGAAGGGGTTCCCAATATCCGTTTTCGGCCATGAGCTTGATATTATCCGGAAGCTTCTCCAAGTTCTTCAAGATCTCGTCAGCTTTTTCCGAGGCGAAAGAATCCAACGGCTGTCTGTATTTGACCGTAGTCAACATCAGAATACCTCCGGCCACTGCCCCTATTTCATTACAGAAAAAACGGGATTTCGAAAGCTCGACTAAAAGCGACGCAGACGCATGCCTAACCGGCGTGTGACTACTCGAAAGCATCTTTATAACCGTCGAAATATCAACTGTTTTCGCAACAATTTCCTGTCGTAAAATATTACAAGATAAATTATAAAACTTCGATCAATGACCAAATAAATAAATAAAAACAAAAAAAAAAGTCGATTATGACCTTCCCTTCTTCGTCGTCCTCAGCCAACTGTTTCAACAGTTCTAAAGTAACCTGTCTTATGCTTCTGCTTCTGTACTCGAGAAATTTTGTGAGCAAAGGAATAATTCCGATGCTGCGAATTTGTACTTTATTGTACGGATTAGTTCTGCACACGCTTTGCAAATCATCGATCGCTTCGAGTACCATGTTGTCTGAGCTAGCCAATGAGAGAGCTGCACGCGCCACCTTAATTCTCGCGGCCTCGTTTCTCTCCTTCCACTCGTCTATCGTTGCTTTTAGAGCAACGTTTGTGCTCAAATTTCTGCTCTTTATACTCTTGCCTGATTTTGGACACACGAGTTCGTTTTGATCTTCGAATTTGTCGAAAAAATCGCTAATTGCTCTTCTTTCGTAAGTCACACCACTTTCGATTGTAACGGGATCTTCCATAACCGTTTTTGTTAAAGGACAGTAGAAAGTCTCGTATAGCGGTTCCATATACCGAGCCAGCTGCGGCAATGCAAGGTTATTTCTGTCCAAAACAGCCGATATTTCTCGACTATTAATATTATTATAATCAGGAGTGGAATATGTCTGAGATGGATAATCGGATAACTGAATATTCACAGCAGAAATATCGGCATCGACCGCGTAGAGATCTGTTTCTATTTCTCGAGAAGTGGGGCCCGCCACAGAAAACGAGGCCTCCTTCATTTCCTTGGACAGTGACTTGGCTGCCTTGTCAGCATATTCTTGATTCCCGTACGTCGATAGCGGTATCACGTTGAGGTTTTCTCCGAAGCTTTTGACTAGGCCTTCGAGTTGGTGCACTGTGGTTATGATTTCGGAGGAGTTCATTGTGTGCACGTTTTTTTCGATTTTTGTGGTGAAGCTTTTGGCGAGTTCGACTTTTTTTTGGAGGGATTGGAGGATTTCTACGGTGTTTGTGGGAGTATTGTAGTTTGTGCGGAGCTCCATTATGATCATGGATGCTCTGTAGAAATAGCACCCGATTTCGATGAAAGTGTCCTTCTCTGGTTGTATGCATATTACCGATTTTATGATTTCGAAAATCGCTGATATTATAGACTCGATGAGGCTGCCTGCAGGACCCAATCTTTCTCGCAGCTGAACGAAAAAAGAATCGGATTTTTTATTCGAAAATTTGAATCCGAAAAGTAAAAAAAAAAATTCAAATACATGACAGAACATAAATCTTGAAGAATCAAGAATTAGAAGCTTTTTTGTTGGGGTTTTTTTTTTCTTTCTCATTTGAGTGAATTATAGTTGTTTCATAGTAGCTAATAATACCAGAATTCATCAGAAATTCATCATAAATTCACAAGAAATTCAAATGCACATGTAGATATCTGAACAATTAACATGTAAACGGTGAAGAAGATTTAGTTAGTGCATACATACCTGAGAGTGATGAGACCACTCAGAGCTATTACTGCCTGACATGTTTGTTTAGCAGTTGAAGAAACTTCGAAACTCTCAACTCACAGAAATCTCATATCCGAAAAATCGATCCTTGAACCAGTCTCCAAGAATTGCATTTCGTCGTCGCCTGTCGTTTTTCTTTTTTCGTATTGAAAATGTCATTTATTAGAAAATTGCAGCATGTTGAACATATATATATATATATATATATATTTTAATTATAGTACTAAACTTCTCTTCATTAATGTTAGGTGTTTTCTGTAAAATATATAGAGATGGACCAAGTCAGCTCCGGCAGAAAAAACCTCGTCAACTCGTCGATAAACTTTCGTAGCTGTACTTACTGTCTTAAAAATCAAGACTTTAGTAGTAGTGTCTCTCATCTTCAGGTTTCTGCATCAGACCCTTGATTAAAATTCAAGATTGGGCAAAAATTGTGCCTTTTTTTGGGAATATGAATATATGATGGAAAATAAAAAATCAAGAATTGAATTAGTTAATTGCTACCCTTCACCATTGACTTGAACTAAAAGATTATTGAATTATGTTTGATTTTTTTATTTTTTTAATTAGAAAATTATGTTTGATTTGAGAATGAACAATTGACCATTTCTTGGTTATTGATTATGAAATAAAAATGTCACAATCATAAACACTTGGCATAATAAGAGTAGTAGACTTTTGTTTCCCACAAAAACAAGTTGTATTTCAATAGAGCTGCTGCTAAAGAGTGGTTAGCATAACTGCATCAACTGGCCAGCTGAGATTATTTTATCATTAATAAGTGGTTACCAACTTACTTTTACAGCTTAATCCTTGTAATATTTCTTAATCTTAGTCGAGTCGAAAACAATCCCGGAGACAATAAAATGCTTTTATAACATCAGGCTTATTCTTGTATAAATCATATATAATAAATATCAATCCATTACACAGCTCGGTAGTTCAGAAAGCAAACCGTATAGACTAGACCGTTTTTTTGGTCTGATCTACTACGGCTCTTCCAACCTCGTTTCTTGGCTCTTTCGAGCCTTGGAAAAAACAGAAAAATATATGTACACACCTATTTCTCGACGAATTTTTGACTCGAAACAATTCTCATATACAAACCAGGGCCGATACTCTCCCCGTTTAATAAGCACTTCAAAAAACTCAGTCTTGCATACTAAAAAATCCTCGGACCATGACAGCTGGCAATAATTGTCAACTCGTTGTAGATGAAGATTAGTCCATCTTCAGATAATAACGAACTGGCGAACCCCATTATTCTCAGATGGCATTCTTTTCTCTCTAACACAATGTGGTAGTAGTAATCGGAGCATCAAGTATTTAAGAATGTCGAGAGATGCGAAGGACCAAGTCGATAATTGGCATAAGAATTCCCCTAATTGAAAAAATAGGTAGAATCGAGAACTTCCCTCAGGTCAAAGTCTCCTCTTTCTGGAAGTGGAGGGAATTTAAGTTTCGGAAACGATTGTTGAAAGCCATCCAATAACTGTTACGAAAAAGAAAAAAAAAGACAATTAATAGTCTGAAAATGCAGTAGATGGTAAATAAGATTTGTGCTAATTAAAATTTAAAATAGCTTACATTCTCCAATATTGGTGCCTCGTAAAGCTCAACAAACTTTTCTCTGAGAATCTCGTTCATTTTGTCCACATCGCATGCGTGAGTCCAATATGAATCGTGCACACCTGGATCAAATAGTGGCGGAAGTTACTGTCAGAACAAATCATGAGCAAAAAATACAAAAAAAAAGTCGGATTTGGTTATTATAGAAACCTGCGAAACTTAATCCCGCCTCGGAGCAGGCAATTGCAGTCATCATCATGTGGGACCCATCGAGAGAGTGCACGAAATTCGGAGGAAAAGCTGTTCTCTGACGCTTTGCCATCACCTTTGATAATCATGCAAAAGAAACACCCGATCGAGTAAGAACAATATTAATCTTTCTTTTTTTATTTCGTTCCTCTACTTTTTTATAATCTTAGAAAGGCTCGTCTGGTAAAGAAAAATGAAACTTACCTTGTCGGTTTCACGTTGAAGAGTCAAAACCTGAAGAGAAGTCTTGATCTGCATCGAAATCCATAGCCAAATTAATTTCAATGACATCTAGTATTTATGCTACTAGTATGAAGTGCATGGTAAGTTACCATGTGCCTTCCTAATTTGCGGTAAGGCTGGACAACAGGGAGCCCAAGTGGTGTTGTCCAACGTACTGGATGGTTCTCCGTTGCTATAATCTGCAGATATGAATAACGAAGCCGAATAAATTAAACAACCCTAAATCGGTCAAACAGCCTTGCTTAAATCATTAACTAGTTAAAAAAACTAAAAAACAGTAAAATAAACGAAAAATTGCACAAACCTTTGCACAGTCTCCCAGCCAACTCATTATGCTTCGTGCAGCCTCAAACATTTCTCCTAAAGCAGTCAATGTTGTCTGTTGAGGGTTTAAAGACAATTAGCACAAACCATGCTAAGTTGCAACTTAAATAAATGCAGGGATTAGAATGTGCCATGATTATTCAACACATGTTATGCATTAATTGCATCTTAATTTGAAGAAAAAAAAACTTAGTTAAAAATAAAGCTGAAAGAACAGACTTTTGCTGCATAGCAAGCGCAGGCAAACAACTCTGTATCGTCCTCCATAGAAGCACGCTCTTTTAGCCTCCTCTTGATTTGATCACGTGCACCTATGTAGGTGACACCGTAGACTGATGTCATCACTGTTTGCTTGACTAATTTTCTGTCCACCTGCACAAAATTATGAATAGATTCAACAAGCTTATAAGATAGCACCGTCCATTTGAAAAACGAAAGATATACATATATATATATATATATATATATATATATATATATATATATATATATATGAAAAAAGGAATGGAAAAAGGGACGAAAAAAAACCTGGTTGATTAAAAGCCTAGCACGCATGACATTGGGATCATCAGCAGGGTCTTTAGCAGCGTCCCTCTTCATTATATCCAGAACTCTGCATTGAGGTCAATCTTTAATGATATATCATTTATATTAAGCATCAATTATAATCCACAATGGCTATTATTCTTTCCGTAGTATGATTAAAAAAAAAAAGCTTCACTTATTCGAGGAAAAAACCAGCAAGGTTTTTCTGGATTAACAAGGGAATCTATGATGTGATGCATGCCAAAGGGAAAAATTACCCTTGGCCTAATGTTTCAAACTTCTTTCTTATTAACATATAATATTGTGTTTGTTTCATCAAGGTCCATTTTTTTCGTCTCTTATCTTATGCTATTTAATTTAGTTATTATTTACTTTTTGATTGGTGTTCTGGATAGCTGGGCAATAGTAGCATAAGTTTAACATAATCACACACAAAAAAAAAACAAAAAAAATTGAAGAGGGAATATCCATGATGATTATCGGAGCTAACCTGGCAGCAATTCCAGAGTAAACATCAGCAGGCTTATCTCCCGCAACAAGATTGACTGCAGCCGCCCCCAGCTAAATAAATGACATAATAAAATATTACATCAAAATAAGGGAAGTTATAAATAAATGAAGTATGATAGATTTCGAACGTTTACATTGTCATAATGCTTATAGTGCAGCTTTATGCAGAATAAAAATATTAGAATTATAATAACGTGAGTTAATAAAAAAGAAATAAATCTCGTGGAATTAAAAAAAATATAATTTGATGTAAAAAAAAATGGAAGACCAATATCCACAGGAACAGAGTCTAGTCTATTAAGTGATGTAGTTCGTTACCTTGTCCCTTCCAAGAGCAGCATAATGTTGCAAGCCGTTACACGACCCATCCTTCAAAATAGAATATAAAAATAAATAAACATTCAGTTTCAGCTTTAATAATGTAAATTAACAGTTTAAACCCTCACACAAAAAGAATGCAGCAAACAAATTGCTCAAAGAGAATAAGAAATAATTGCTTCACAGGAAACTTCAAGGGGCTGGAACTGAAAACTTTAGTATAAGCAACATTATCTATATTTGGATGAACAAGTAAACCTATTAATAGAAAATTTCAAGGGTTTTTGAAAGAAATTCAGACCTTGTGAAAATTAATTATAATAACCAAAAAGACACAAATCTTGTGAAAGGCACGTGTCAAGAAGTATCTTTTCCAAGTAAGAATAACAGAATATTCCATCTAATCATAAAATATTTTCACCAAAGGTTAACAGAATAATTTACTGTGGCCTGCGGGACGACTATAATGAGATGAAAACTATAGAGATAAAAGGGACTAAAATGAAACAATTGAGATATAAGGCACTAAAATGAGATCTGCTGTCAAGATAAGAGACTATTCATGCGATTTGGTCTAATACACACAAACACACACACACACACACGCGCGCGCGCGCGTATATAGTATGACAATCAGTTACCTGGTGGACTGGAATATAAGACACTGTACTCTCAGGATAAGGACTTCTTAATGCTTCAGTGAGGCTCATGCAAGTGGCCAAGCACTGGAAAGGGTCCTCTGCACCTAACCACCATCTTTTTCCTTCTAAAGGCCGATCCGCTGAATCGAAAATATCTTCCATATGGTTTTCAGTAAATGATATTCGACCGTCATAAGAGAATTTGTCAACTCCTCCACCATATAAATTTGCCAAGTGTACTTTCAACCATTGTAATCCCGATTTTCCAAGTGGACGACCTTCCGCAAATTCCAGGATTCCTCGACAGAGGTCTGAGCCAAGATGGTTCAAATACGGGTGCATGGGATACGCTCGCCCTCGAAAATCGAGATTGTGAGGGTAGTAAAATCCTTCTTCTTCCTTTATTTTTCTGGCCACCTACTCTATCAAATAAAGGATATTAATATTGCAATACTGCAGAACTTTCCTGATAATAAAGTTTCGGAAAAAGGTAAATGAGGCGGGCTTTCTTACAGCAAGTTTGAGTTCTATATCGCACCGCTGCGAATGTCTTTCGCTGTTGACCTTTTTCACAGCTTTGACTTTCCACTTCCATTTCTTTATTTCTGCTTCGTCTTCTGTGTCTGGTTCCTCTGGCAATGGCAGCTGAATGGACAACAAATTGAGGGGAAATTTTAGTGATAAAAATTATTTTTCTGAGGTTTACAGGGTGAGTGTATATCCTAAAAACCAAAGGAAAATTGGAGTTTAATATTTTATTTTATTTCGTGGAAATGATTACTTACATCTTCACGGTCAACCAAATCAGCAAGACGACCTCCATTAGCCCAGATTCTGTCTACAACACTCAGTATTCTTTTGTTCACCCTCCATTTTGTATTGCCGAGAGTATTAAGTGCCTTAGATGAGAATATGGTAATAAATCATAAAGCACAAGCCACATAGCGATGGAAATACTGTAGCAAAAAGTGAAATAATTAAGTATAAATTGGCAAACCTGAAAGATTGGTTCCAACTCCTGCTTTGGAGTTCTTTTAACAGCCTCCCTTTGTTGTTTTGCTCCATGTGTACGCATCATATACGATGGCAAAAACAAATAAGCACCTCGCTCATACCTACAAGCATTATCAAAGCCTACTGAAACTATGTAAAATCAAAAAGCTATTGTTTCTAACAAAAATAATTACGGCATATTTAGAACCAAAGGGACTTTAATTTATCTGCACCACAAAAGCAGATATTTGAATGATATCCATGAACAGTGTGCCAGGTTTTTAAGGGATGAATATTCCTCAGATGAAATCTACTCCTAGGGTGTATCAACTTTCTATCTCTCTTTTTTTTCACGTGAAAACATTTCCCGCAAAATAAATAAAGGAAATTGATAATAATGACAGCTGAAAATGTACAGCACAGTCAATGCAGCTATATAATGATTCAGACTGTTATAATTTATTGTTGAAAAACAGCAGCAAAAAAATAAGACCATGTGTGCATACAGAAACCAAGTATAGCATACCCTGTCCAATTTAGCGGGGGAACCAACATTGGCATATATGGAATCACCATGTGCCTAGCCTGCATAAACAGGGGAAAAAAATATATTATATTCTGCAATGGTCAACTACGCGAATGCTATTGCATAGCTTAGAGAGCGAACTTATATATGTTATCTGCAATAAGATCAACTAAATGAATGTTATTAGCAGAGTTTAGTGAACTTGTCCTGTAATGCAAAAGCCAAAAGAAGAAGATAAGAGAGGATCTCAACTTACTGTTTTTTCCATCCCTTTACGAACTAGAGGGTCACACTCGATTACCCCATATCTCCTGCTACCTTTCCTATACATAATCAAATACAAAATAGTCTAAGCAGTAGAAGAATTTGGAGAAGAAGGTAGTAAGCCGATGATAGATCAATTAGAGAAACATCAAATTGTACTCACAATGTTTCTACACATTTGAGTGTGTGCACAAAAGCAGGTCGAATATCAGGTGCCCCATCATCCCTCTGATCAACTGGAGGTTGTATGTAGGCTGTTTGCGTCAGTATCTGAATTAAACGGCACCCAACCTGTAATATACATTACTGCAACTTCAGTTCTGGTGTATACATACACATTAAACACACATACATGTATATAGTGTGTGAGTGTGTGGGGTGGGGGGTGGCTACCTTCACTTGAGCATCTTGGCCCCAGGGCTTCAAATCATCTTGATGCCTTACTATATTCCTAACTTGCTGAACTTTTTGTTTCTTCATCAAAATTTTGACCTTTTTCCTTAGTCTATCTTGTTCCTTTGCCTCGGGATCAGGTCCTTCTTCCGAAGTTCTATTTAACGCATTTTTTCTCTTGCAGTTATCTAAAAATTTATGAATCCTGACCTGGTCAATAACAGAAACAGTAATCGGAACTTTCAGACGCCATCTCAAATACAAATTAGGAGGGAACAAGAAGAAAATCCAAACTGCCTTCTTTTCTTTTACTTTGGCAAACAATTTAATTGGAGGAACAGACAATCCCAATTTTAAGGAAACTAACAATATAATATTTGCTTCAAAACGAGAAGAAAATATAAACCTTCATTTTTTTCTACTTCGGCTAACAATTTAATTAGAGGAACAGACATTTTCCACATGAAAAAAACATTAACAATAGCATATTTTCTTCAATTTACCTCACCTCTAAAGTTGAACTTCAAAAGAGTGAATATATGTCTTCTTAGAAGCATGTGGTAAATAAGTTGTCTCAGAAATTTTTAATCTTTCTAATCTAGTTTGAACTAATATTGAGTTATTGTAATGGACTTGAAAGCCACTCTACATGGAGTCGTTTGAAAACCTCCCCAAATCATCTTCCCGAATCGAAATTTTTCAATCCAAATACACTAAATCAGTTTGCCAACCCCACACGAGCGCACAAAATGAAAATTCAGAAGCCGTTAGAGATGGTCTTAATAAACACAGCAGATATACTACATGACACCATCATTTGCCTGTCTTGGTTGTAATTGGAAATAGTACGTTAGCGGGTTAGAAGAAAATTTAACATTATGTAACAAAACAAAACAACATCAGTAATAAAAAGTCAACGTTGCACTGGGAAAATGTGAAGAGATTGTGAAGCCTAAAAACCCGAACAAAGCTCGGATTTTTCAAAATGTCAAACTGTTCAATTCAATCCATGGACATAAATTAGAAGAAAAAAATCTGAAACGGCGTAGATTAACCACCACGGTAACCAAAACCATGGTAAAATACATTTCTTTCTACGAATGCTATAATTCTATACATTGGCCTGTTTTTTTGCATAAATCAGATGGTTTCATGCAGGCATCATAGATTTTCTTGGCATGATATTCTTTGTATATTACTAGGATAGGCAAGAAAATCTATTACCATCACAAAGGCACTGTTGATGCCTTAGACAAACTAAAAGGAAAAATTAACCGAACAACAAATATAATAAAGGCCAAACGAACAAATAATAATTTACAAGAACAGAACTCCTCATACTAAGAATTCCAAACTCATAGTAATGAAACAAAAGGGAAAATAAATATTATTTTATATGTAGCCAACCTCGTGTTCTATGGCTTCACCGATATGACACGCAGCTTGCACAACTCGAGCGCTGCCATTCCCTCCACCAGTCATCAGCAAACCCATCAGCTTATGCATCGTAATAACCGCCATCATTTCTGCAGGCAATTGGTCAAAATACGGTGCATACGCACCGCGGTTTTTCCCTTCCTTGCACAAATCCTGCTCCGCAGCAATCGCATCTCTCAACGGTTCGAACCAACCTAAGAACAACGACTTGATGTAAGGCAAATTGGGGGCCAATTTTTGCTCACACATGTCTTCTAAAAGCTCCTGATATTCCTTTGCCGCATTCTCCCACGCCTCCGTTTCGATCTTTATTTGTCTCCTCCTAAGACTATTGTACTTCCCTAACCCCATTCCTCCCACTAATTTCGGCTGCTTCTGCTCACGGTTATCCGTGCTTTTCACGTTGATTTCTTTGTTGATCTCTTCTATTAATTCCTGAAGTTCGTCAACCTCTTCTTCGGAGGTGGACACTAAAGCCTCAGCCGCTGCTGCATAACCCCTTGTACTCCCAAAAAATCGAAAAGTGTGGCTAGAAATTGCATAATTAGGGCAGCTCGCCTCACGCGGTGGCCGCCAAAATACTAAAGCTCGCCGGAAACCTAATTCGGAGCCACATGTATTTATACAGCTTCGCAGCTGACGAGGTACGGCGTTTTCGACAAAAATGGAATCTTTGGGGGATTTTCCGGCGGAGAAGGCATTGGGGGAAGGATGGGATTCCGAAAAAACCTTGAAATTTCTCAAATAGGATTGCTTTGATAAATTTCTCCACATGTTTCAGTTGGGGGATCTATTGATTGGTGGATGCCCAAATGATGGCGAAGAGTAATTAAATAAATCGCTCAATTTAGCGTTGGCGGAGAGAGAAAAGCTCTCATGGCAGATAAAGCTCGGAGATTTCTAGAGAGAGAAAGAGGAATGAATTGAGCGAATTGAGAATTGCTGTTGTTGAAGAAGAATTGGAGAAGAAGAAAAAGGCGAAAGGGGAGAAGGGAGGCTGTGGCTCTGTATTAAACCCTGCTAAAAACCTACTCACAAACACAAAGTAATATTTGAAAAAAATCAGGAAATCAAAAGATCCATATTAGCTTTACGGGTCGGTTTTTTTGGTTTCGGGTCATCATTCGTACCGACCCGACCCAAACGACGAGACTCGTCTTGTTGAATTTTTTCCTACCCGTTCTAATTATATAATGGGGTCTACTATTCATGGTGCATTTTTTTCCAGTTACAGTGTGAAATAATTCATTTTCTTTAATATTTTTCGAAATCCTCTCAACCCGAATTTAAAACTTACCGAATCGTCAAATTTGTCCGGTAGTATCATTTAGAACACAATAATTATCAAGAAGGATGGAACCTACTTCGATTTTGAGATTAAAAATGTGTTTTTTGTCGATTTTCGACATTTTTATGAATTTCGTGTTCTGTTGCACGAAATGAAACACTCCATTTCGTGTAATACAACACGAAACACTTTTTTTTTTAGAATTTTATATTATTTCGTGTAAATTTACGTGAAATCAATATATATATATATATATATATATATATATATATATATATATATATATATATATATATTAATTACTTCATTTCTCACACTCAAATAAATACAAGAGAATAA